AATATCAAGATGTTAACTAATTGTCATCTTAGTAACACTCCCCAATATTAACATAGAGGAAGGAATAGTTATTACTAAGACCAATGTCAAGATGTTAACTAATTGTCATCTTAGCAACACTCCCCAACATTGATATAGAAATAGTATTTAAGAGAAGCATTAATATTCAAGGAAAGAAGTTAAGTAAATAACTCACAACTTTAATAATCAACAAGCTTCAAGAGCAACACCAAGAAATGGAAGTTTAGCTCCTCATTTGGAGACTAAACATGCTATAAAAATATAAAAGAAATAATATTCTAAACTGAGCTTAAGAGTATGGAAGAAGGAGTGATCTTATTGTGAAGGAAAAGGGGTGTATTTATAGGTGTTTGGAGGTAGCAGGGTGGTGTACCCGACCGGGTATATAGGGTACTCGATCGGGTATTTTAGGCAGTTTCCCGGAAAATCACTTTTCTAGACATACCCTATCGGGTATGAAGGCATACCCGATCGGGTATGAGCCAAATCTTCAAAATCCTGCACGTTTTTTTGTCTCTCCAAATCTCTCCAGATTCTGATTTTGACACCCGAATCAACTCAATACCCGATCGGGTATTGCCTATACCCGACCGGGTATATGAAATATTTTTTCAATCTTCTTTTGATCTTGTCCCCTTGCACTTTCCTTGATCTTTTGGGGTCCAAACTTGATCCTTTGGATGATCTTGACATGTTTTAAGCTCAGAATAATCCTAATCTAAACAAATTACATCTATCTAAGAAAATTAACTAATTACACCAAAAGTGTGTAATTTTCCAAACAACAACAAATAAAACTAGTTAAAATAGAAATAATACATGATAAAAATACAACTCTATCAAGCAGCTAAGTGTAGGAATATAACCAAGTCATGGAGCAGGTTCGTTGGGCCTCAACCGGTAGCGCCACTACATCCTGGAGCAGTGATGATCTGCTCGGCCTCGCTGGTGTGACTCGGACCATTGTAGGATAGGCTCGTTGGCAGGATCTCGGGTCTAGACTACGTAGTTGGCCTCAATGCTAAGTCTCGGCCCACTGAGTGGATAACTTGGGCCCTAATTCTAGATCACCGGTTATTGAAACCTTGGGTATGTGGGGCATGTGGCAATATACTCCATCAAGAAGGAACTTTCCTTTCAATTTAAAGGTCATGGACTTAGATCTCTATCTGATGTGGAACAAACCTTCTCTCTCAAAATATGGTGGAATTGGATGTACTCTGTAATAAATAAAAATTTCATTCACTTTAAATATCATAAACGATCTAATACGAATAAAAAAGTACCTCAAGCTACAATTTGGAGAAGGTTGTTCCCCCCTCACGTTTTAGGCATCCAACTCACTAATAGAGATGAGGTTGGTACAACATTAGTGTTAAGATCTGGAGTTTCTTTTCTAAAAGGTCAACCTTATAGGAGAAGTAACAAAAGTCTTATATAGTGTTTTATTGTCTTATAGCTTTTCAGTGTTAGACAAATACTTTAACATGTCCACCTCAGCCCGGGCCAGACTGAACAATATTGGGTATATAAATGGGTCAAATAGACCCTTAACAAGCTACCCTTAATGATGGGTGCTAAACAAGTAGTCAAACCACAATCGAACTTGGCTCTGATACCATGTTAAGATCTGGGGTTACATCCTAAACGGTCAACGTGGTAGGAGGAGGTCTTATATAGCGTTGTACTGTCTTATAGCTTTTTAGTGTGAGACAAATACTTTAACAATTAGAACCTCTAAGTCATTGACTTTTAATAGAAGTCGTACAGAGAGAAATAGAGAGACGAAGCTTATTATTACTTGATCAATCTGTGCAGCATTACAACGTATATATAGAATCAGTTAGGTCAGGCTACTAACAGAATCTTAATCGACTATAACAAACTCAATTTATTAGAATTAAGTATTCAAGTCTATTCTAGAATGTATATCTAACATCCCCCCTGAAAATGAAGGTGATTGATCAGCTACACTGAGTTTTGTCCTTAGATCAAGAAAGTTAGAGCTGGAGAGTGGTTTTGTTAGGATGTCAGCAACTTGGTAGGGAGAAGGAATGTGATAGACTTGAAGCTGCTTCAGATGAACCTTTTCTCTGACAAAAAAGAGATCAAGTTCCATATGCTTGATCCTAGAGTGTAGACAAGATTGTGAGCAAGTTGTACAGTACTCAGATTGTCACAATAGACTTCAGGAACAGAGAATGGGACTTGAAGTTCTTTTAGAAGAAACTGTATCCATAGTAATTCTGCAGTGGTATCAGCTAGGCTTCTATATTCAGCTTCAGTTCAAGATCTTTCTACTCTGGCTTGCTTTCTTGACCACCATGAAACAATGTTAGAACCCAGAAATATGCATGAGCCAGATGTGGATTTCCTGTCAGTAGGATCAGATGCCCAGTCTGCATCACAGTAGGCTGAGAGTGGTAGAGGTATAGAGGATAGAGGTAAATGTTTGATGATGAGACCATGGTTGGTGGTACCTGATAGATACCTGAGAATGTGTTTAGCTGCAGTGGTGCAGCCATAAACTGACAAACCTTGTTGACTGCAAAGCATATGTCAGGTCTAGTGAGAGTAACATATTGCCGAATACGCACAACTGATCTGTAGTAAGAAGGATTTGGGAGATAGTTACTTCCCTCTTGAGTGAGTTTTGAAGTGCTAGCCATAGGAGTTTTTACTCCTTTCGAGTCAAGCATACAAGTTTGGTGAAGTAAATCATTGATATATTTGGCTTGGGAGAGATGTAGGCTGCCATCAGGTAGTTTATGTGCTTCTATTCCCAGAAAGAAGTCAAGGTCTCCCAAATGCTTCAGAGAGAAACAGGAATCAAGAGTTTCAATAAGCTGATGAATGGCAGTAGGTAGATTTCCAATAACCAATATGTCATCAACATAGATCTAGATGTATATTTGGATTCCAGAAGACAGGTATATGAGTAAGGAAGGATCACATTTACTCTGTTTGAAGCAAGATTTATACATAACTGAAGTTAAATTGAGAAACCAGGCTCTTGGGGCTTGTCTAAGCCCATACAAGGACTTATGCAACTTGTAGACAAGAGAAGTGTCTTTTACTTGAAAACCCGGAGGCTGCACCATGTAAACTTCTTCGTCAATTTCACCATTTAAGAATGCATTTTTAACATCTAATTGTTGAATAGACCATTTATTTGATACAGCAAGTGTAAGAAGAACTCTTATTGCCACAGGTTTGACAACTGGAGAAAATGTTTCTCCAAAGTCAGTGCCAAATTTTTGATGAAAACCCTTAGCCACCAGTCTGGCCTTGTATTTCTTCAGAGAACCATCAGCATTTTCTTTAATTCTAAAGACCCATTTGCAGCCAATTGCTTGTTTGTCTGGGGGAAGAAGAACAAGAGACCAGGTTTTGTTGGAAATCAATGCATCATACTCACACTTCATAGCCTCGAATTAGTGAGGAGAAGACATGGCTTGTTTCACTGAGTTAGGCTCAGTATGAACTAACAGTAAGCTTGGATTAAGCCTTGGTTTTACTATCCCAGATTTGGCCTTAGTCCTCATGGGATGGTTGTTGGTGACAGGGCAGGAGAAATTGGAGAAATAGAAGGTGTGATCTGAGTGGTAGTGTTAGGTTGGATTGCAGGAGTAGAAGAATTTGAGGAAGTTGATCCGGAAGAGGAATGTTGTCTGTTGTTGTTTCAACCATATTGAGTTTTTGAAGAGGAGGACTGATCTGATGGACCTGGAGAGAATGTTTTAGTGGTTTTGGAGGGAAAAGAGATTGATATAGGAACAAAAATTGGTAGTGGGGATTCAGGTCATAAAGATGGTGTAGAGGGAAAAAGGGTAAGGTAGGGAAATTTTGACTCATGAAAGATAACATCTCGAGAGAGATATATTTTTCCTGCAGAAGAGAGGCATTTATACCCTTTGTGAGTAGAAGAATATTCAAGGAAGACACACTCTTCAGAGTGAAAACCAAGTTTGTGCTTGTTATATGGCCTGATGAATGGATAACAAGAGCAGCCAAAGACTTTAAGAAAGGAATAGTCAGGACGGGAGCCAAACAGTTTGAAGTAAGGGCTGAGATTGGAAATAGATTTAGATGGAGTTCTGTTGATGAGATGGACTGCAGTGGCAAAGGCTGCATCCCAAAATTTAAGAGGAAGAGCAGAATGAGAGAGAAGAGATAGAGCTTTTTCAATAATGTTTATATGCTTCTTTCCACAACACCATTTTGATGGTGTGTGGACAAATGACCTTGTGAGTGATTCCTTTTTCAGACAACAATTGAGTAAAAGATCTGAATTCACCTCCACAGTCAGATTGTAGGGACTTAATAGAGACACAAAATTGATTAAGGACATAGTTGTAAAAGTTGGCGAATGCAGAGAGAGCATCGGATTTTCTTTTTAAGAAATACACCCAAGTGTATCTGGTTGATGCATCAATAAAGGCTATGTAATAACTGTAGCCATCAAAGGATAGAATAGGGGCTGGTATCCACAGATCAGTGAAAATAAGTTCAAAAGGTGTGTTGTATGTAGTTGTGGAAGGGAATGAAGGCAACCTGTGTGACTTGCCTAAACAACAAGCAGAACAAAACTCAACAACATTCTTATTAACAAAAGGAACATTACATTGTTGAAGTATACATTTGAGAGACTCTAAATGAGGATGACCAAGTCTTAAATGCCAGAGATTACATGTTTCAGAGACATTACATGGCTTAACATTATTACAAGTAGATAGAAATGTAGTAGAGGATGTGGAACTAAGACTGGATGAAGGTAAAGAAAAAGGTGTTCTGCTTTGTAGAGTAGCTGGAACTGGAACTGAGTGAAACCTATATAGACCATCATCTCAACATACACCATGTAAAAGAATCTGTCTAGAAACCTGAGATTTAACAAAACACTCATAATGATAGAATTCAAAAAAAGACATTATTGTCCTTAGCAAACTGACTGACACTGATCGGATTCTTAGTTATGGAGGGAACATGCAAAATATTATTGAGAGAGAGAGAGAGAGATAAAGAGGATTGATAGGGTGAGGGAAAAGTAGTAAAACCAATGGACTTTATATCCAAACCTTGACCTTTGCCCATAAAGAGCTTATCAGCTGTAACAAGAGGCTCACTGTGTTGTAGGTTTAAGGGACCTGGAGTTACATGATGAGTGGCTCCAGAGTCAGGATACCATGTTTAATGCTGTGGAGCAAGTCCCAAGATAGAAGGAGTTGCACAGGCCCAAGTTGCAGTAGGAGTAGGAGTGTATTGTTGTGGATGAGTTGCAGTATAAGGCTGTTGAGGTGAGGGATTATAGGGTTGTACATGTGATGAATCATATGGTTGTGGGTCCCAGTTTTGGAATGGTGAGGTGGGGGTTGGAGTGTTGATTTGAGGTGAAGGAAATCTTGGTTCATAAGAGCCTGGTGAAGGAATTGGATTGAGAGAGGACTGGGAGTTTGGATAGGGATTATATGGGGTGTTTGAAGTGATGTTGTAGGAAGGATTGAACTTGAGATAACAAATTAGAGCATGGTGACCAGATTTGCCACAGACTTGGAATATGATTGAGCTTCGACCACCATATCTGCCACCACAACCTCTTCCAGGTCCTCCACGACCTCTGCCACTGTAGGAATCAATGGTAGGAGGAACATTGAACTGTGAAACTTGGTCCGAAAAAATTTCTGAAGAACTTTCAGGTGCTAGAGTATGATTGGAGAGTGAAGGCTCAACACAAGCAACATTTGCAGAAAACAGATTTGATTGTGAGGATTCACGAAGATTCTGTAGTCTCATTTCCTTAGCAGCCAAAAGAGATTCAACTTTAAATAAAGTAGCAGGATCCGAAGGACTTTGCGAAGAAATTGAGGAGGCCAGAGATTCATATTCTTCCGGTAGGCCTTCGAGGATGACATTGATGTGCTCTTTTGCTAAAATAGGTTGTCCGATTGATAGCAAATTATCGGCAATAGTCTGGATACGAAGAAGATACTCAGAAACAGATCGATCTCCTTTCGCAGTGTTATACAACTCAGATTTGAGTTGTCTGGCTTTGGCAAAGATTTGCGACTTGAAATAACTGTTGATCTCACTCCACAACTGATGCGAGTATCTACAGTGAATCACTCGAGCATGAAATGATTCTTAAAGTGACGCAAACAACCAAGAGAACAACATTTGGTCCTGATGCTCCCAGACAATATACTCCACATTGACATTTCCACTTGCTTCGGGATCAGCAGAGTTGAATTCCTTCGGAATTTGAGGTTTTACGATGAATCGAAGGAGTTTATGCGCTCGAACAACAGATTCCACATGATGCTTCCAGAAGAGAAAACTATTAGCATCGAGTTTGATCGGGAGTGGATGTCCGAAGGTTACAGGAGAATTCGAGTTGCCAGAATTGGTAGTAGAGTTGGAAGAATCATCTGAGATCGCCATGGATTCGAGCTACAACTCTGATACCATAATAGAAGTCGTACAGAGAGAAATAGAGAGAGACGAAGCTTATTACTATTACTTGATCAATCTGAGCAGCATTACAATGTATATATAGAATTAGTTAGGTCAGGATACTAACAGACTCTTAACCGACTCTAACAAACTCAGTTTATTACAATTAAGTATTCAAGTCTATTCTAGAATGTATATCTAACAACTTTCTACCCCTCCCAATCTTAGAAGATTTAAATTTGCAACTTTTCCTCCAGGTGCCCCTTTTTTCCAACGAGCTACATCTGCTTCACATATTCTCACCATTTATCCTCTCATTGGATCCCTCTAGCAACACTTATTGTGCCTTTTCTCATCCCTTTTTCCATGTCTTTGTGTTTGGGCGATTCAGAAGATGGCTGTCTAAACAAACAACTAAACATATATACATAAAACGAGTACAAATTTTGTATAGAAGTAGCCAGACTCTAAATGAGATGGAGTGGTACAGATAAATGTACGTGGAGGTGGGCTGGCATTTGTCGTTTGTGTGTTGTGATGATCAAATCAACTGCATGCTTGTCCTGAGCAACGAATGACTGATCTTGTGGTACGTACGATTCACCTGCTTCTGCAGCGTACAACACTCCCATTCGCAATGCATCATATCGCTTTGAAGGCACGCCAAATTAGTACGTAAAATGTACTCCCCCAAGTCACAATTTGTTTTGCGCGTACCGCAACGTACGTACAATTCTGATTAATAAATCCACTACCTACCTCCCACCTCCCATTAGAATGTGACAATTTATAACTGCAAATAGAGAATAAAATTGTGTCATCGGTATTTGGAACCAATGGAAAAGAAAAGTACTTGAACGAGTAGTTATAAATATTTAATAAAATTAGAGTTTGTTTTGAAATCAAATTAGGTAATTTATAGTTTGGTGTTGTCTTTAGTTGGGGCCAATGAGGCATTGAACGTCCAACTCAAATAACAATAATAAGTTAATAAATTATACTACGTATATACAAGGAACAAATGAGGCCGAGTAAAACATTTGGACTAAGGATTTAATATTTAAGTTTGCTAAGGATGTTTTCTTTTGGACTGGAATTTGCTAGTCTGGTCTGGTCTGATCTGGTACTTAAAACAGTTCAAAAGATAACATCCGACGTGGAACACTTAATAAGTGGTATTTTATAGCACAAATTACTTATCACTACAACAAAAAACATTTTTTAGATATAAAGTCGACACAAATATTTCATTTGCTTTAACGTGTGGACACTAATGTGTTGACGCTAATATCTCGATGCAGAATGTTTATTAGCTTCTACTTTGGTCGATGCAAATAAGATTTACCTTTTGCGTCCACTTTATCGTCACAAAAAAAATCATGGGTGCGGAAAAAATAGGACCTTTAGCTATAATTCTAAATTTTCCAAAAAAATACAATATATTGTTGTTGTTTTTGGCAGGAATTTTTGGCGGGGTTTTTGGTAGTGATATGTCACATTCGTGCCAAAAGCAGTTTGACACAAAACCATCGATAAATCCGTGCCAAATTCGTGACATTGCGTATTGTTTTTGTAGTGATGTATGAAGGCCACTTACGTATAATTTCTGCAAATTACCACTCTTTTCTTCTGAACATTGAAAATTTCTCGTGAAGCTATCAATTAATAATAAAAAATCAGCTTCTAATTTATTATCATGTCAGTAACATATAGAACTATCAAATAAAACGAAATTGAAGCAAAAGTTAAGTCTTAAGACACTTTTCCGTATATTAAATAAATTTTAGAAAGTTTTTTTGCATCCAAAAATTGACACAAAACACAATTATTTGCGTCCACATGTGTCGACGTAAAAAACTGGGCGCAAATAATACTTTTTTGTTGTAGTGTATATTGTATATGAAGTATTGCTATGGATTTATTTATTTATTCATTTATTTATTTATTTAATAATTTATCTATATTGTTTTATAAGAAGGTACGTACCCTCTTCAAAAAAGAGTCATGTCTCAACAAAGTTTCCATCTTGTCAAAATAAAGTGACTCTCTGTGATTAACAAGGAATTAATTGTGTATTTGAGATCAGGGCGGATACAAAAAACATTTTTGAAAAAGATTACCTGGAATTATTAGACTCGATCAACTGTAGGCATTAATCATATAGCTCGTATTTCTTAATGACCGCAACACCATCTCATGTTAGTGAGATGAAGATGTTAGTAAATATAGTGTCCGTTTGATTATGGATGGATTCGGGAATTTCATGTTGGGAGAGCGATAATTTAAACAAAATATTTTTTGAACGGCGAAAATTATTTTTCGTATATATACGATTTACATTAAATTTTGGTTGTTGGAGGGGCGGTCCACCCCTGTGTTTGATTTATCAAATAATCAATGCTTCACTCAATTTCAATGTTTTTAATGGCCACATATATCAGCGAGGTGGAGATTAAATATTGATAGGATTGCCCAATCATCCGTAGACCTAGACGACGCGGCTCGATCTCCGGGTTGCCCAATCAAAAACTGTCAGCACCAACCGTTCATGTTCATCGTATAGATGCACAATCCGTACAATCTATGTACTTAACTATGTACTCCATATATCACGGCCTAGTGTATTACAGTCTACGTGTCTACGTGTGTGTATGTATATGCGCAATATTTGGATTAAATAACAACGCAATCCAAGTAGATAGTGATAATGAATTTGACTAAAATTGTAATTGCAACACAAACCGTAAATTATACTACGTACTTACTTAAATTATCATGTTTTTATTCTCTAAATAGAAGTAATTAATGTCATATTTTGGCAGTATCATGTTTTACACATGGTAGTATTTTCTGAACATGACAATAATTACTCATATTCAGAAAATAAGCATATGACAGTCCTATTTTGAAATTCTCAAAAAACATTACTCCTATTTCTGAATTCTGCCTACAACTATCTAATAAAGGTTATAGAATAAAGATGAAATTCACCTTTATATTATTTGAATTGCATATTTGGGAAAAAGTTACAACACACCTTTATATCACAAAAGAACATTGTGAAGTAAAATCATAAATAATTGCTTTATAATCAATCTTTTCCAAGATCACATGTTCAATGTTTAAAATTGTTAATCCATTAGGTTTTTTGAGGTATAATAGATAATTGGGATGATGTTTGAGAATTGGGAGGCACCGGCAACCCAAAGACAATAATATAAATTGGTAATTTTGTAATTAAAAGTAAAAAAAACTTAAAGGCTAAAAAGATATGAAGAGACGTATTTTTATTGATTCAACAACAAATGTGTTGATTTACAACCAACTCTATTTAAAAGTCAAAACTAAATTTATATTCTTTTCAAAAACTTGTCTAGCTTTGTTCAAGACTTTTTACTTATGTTTTAAAATTCTCAAATTGTCAACAAAAGTTATACATTAGGTCTAATTAATTAATTGAAATTATAAATTAAAAAGAAGTCTACTCATATTACATATAAAGAAAAAACTTGGGTCTAAATTTCTTTATACTTTTTTTCGGGCCTAGGGCGGTCGCCCCTGCTGCCCCCCTAGGACCGGCCATGACTATATCATTATACTCCGTATATGATATTGTACAAGCCGGCGGACCTATGCTGGTTCAAAGTGCTCTTGTGAACACTCAAATTTTTAAATCAATAGTGTAAAATCACATGCATAGGAGTGAAGGTGCAAAAATGCACTACAATTAAGTACAACTTTTGTAGCATGTGCAAAATGTTGTCACATGTGCTAAAAATGTCACAATATATCAAATCTATCATTTTAGTATGTTGCATCATGTATATCAATCCAGGACCTAAAAATTGGAAATATTATCCATTCCGGCCCTGAAAGATTTTTTTATCAATAAGGGACCTAAAAGATCACATTCTATCAATATAAGACTTAAATATTTCACACCGTTATGTCATATGTGGGAGTTAAGGGAGTACGACCGTGTAAATATGTGGAATAAAAATAATGCCACACCATTTAAAAACAAATCCATGTCTGACATACGTTCCCCGTTGAATTCACTTCATCTTCCAGAACCTTATCTATCATTATTTTTCACTCACGCCTATCAAGCTCCTTCATCTTCACCTCCAGGTAAATTAACTAGGCTTTCAAGCGATTCGCATATGCCCTTACTCATCTCAAATTTATCTTCCTCTGCCGACCATAAAAGGCAAGAAGGAAACGGTTACCAGAGCTCCCTTTTCGTGGAACCTTTGTTCTAGCTGAGGTTGATATTTAATGGTCTGTAGGTTTTTTAATTTCTATGTCCACTGATTTAGAGTTTCATGGAACCTGTGTAATAGCTTTAGATGTAGAGTTTTAGAAAAGATCCAACTAGAGCTCAGAGTAAAAGATCTTGTGGATTATTAATCACTGAGCAATGAAGAGCAGAAAAAGGTCCGGCCGCCTGACACCTTCCGCTAGTTTGGCAAAAGTGCTTCCAGAGGCGGATGGTAGTTAGGGCAGGGGTGGGCTTCAGCCCAGCCCATTTTTTTATTTTTTAATTAGTATAGGTCTAAGTTTTATTATTAGCCCACTCCAAAATTAGCTCCCAGCCCATCCCACAGCCCAGCCCACCTATTCAACTTACCTCCGAGGCTGCGAACTGGCGGAAGTACAAAGAAGAAGAAGGAAGACAAAGCTGCGACTTGCGAGTTTGCGATGAATAAGGCAAGAACTCGTGATATGAGCTGCGACCCTGCCGCACCACGCCTTCCTCCGCCGTCCACGCCGCGTTTCGCCATCCAGAGCCCTCCGTCATGATTGATAGATTTTAGCCTGCCGCTATGGTCTCTTCCTCCAGCTCCGAAGCTTCAGCCTCCATGTGAGCTTTTTAGATTTTAGCTCTATTATTTTTAGTGAATCAATTTGAAAATTAATTGAATTTTTCATTGTGAATTAAAATAGTGTTTAATTCACTGTAAATTTATAATGATTAAAGATAGAATTAAGGATTATAGATTTAGAGAATGATTCATTTATTATACAGTTGAAGATTAGAGCATGATTTATTTATTGTGTGGACATGTAATAAATAATTGAAATTTTTAATTGAATTTTGAAATTGTGAATACTTATTACTTCTAGGTACAACGATTGTTTTTTACTTATTATTTTTTATAATTTTATAGAATGTTTTTAATTCATATGAACATTGAAAATGTTTTTTAAAATAGATAATGAACATATTGTCAAGAAAGGAAAGTGAAATAAATATTCACTTAGTATAAAATTGAGCTTAATTTTGGTTAGATAGATTTTAGATGTTCGATTTTAACACACGATAAATTAGAGGCAAAATTAAGCGACGGCCTGGCAGAACCTCCTACATAAGGGGCTAATTGAACACTTTAAGTTAGTTCATGTACCTATTTGACCCTTTAGCCTTAGAAATAACATTCTCCTATATCCCTTTCTATGTAGTATAAATTAGTTTGATTGCACTATAAAACTATACTTGTGAATTGTGATACACCAGCTTGATTTCATTAAACCAGTACTACATCTTAATTGTGTAATTGGAACAATATATAATCCATGGACAGTCATGAACACACTTCACTCTACATATTGTCTTATCTTGCTTCACATAAGTC